GAGTTAAATGAATTTAAAGACGTTGATCTTTCACTACCAGGAGTGATGTTAAAAAATTTAGTCTTAAAATATATTTTAACTAATAGATACTAGTTTTATTTATTTTTTTTTGCATAGTCGGTAAGAATATTGTATTGTATTTCTGGACTGTTTGAATAAATGAAATGAATAACAGAGGGTTTAATATGCATAACCTTTTTTTGTAAACCTGTGTAATTTATAAAAAGCTGTCCCTCTTTTCCCGAGACAATTTTTTTTCTAATAAAATCCCTATGGGCAGGGAATTTTCCTTACATGTACAAACACTAGGTGAAAGCAAATTTGGACCGGATCAAACCTTTACCCTGCGACAATGATGCAATTAAATAGACAAAACAAACAAACTTTAAACGCATATAGCTTTCTTACAAAATATATCGTTCGAGGCCTTTTAAGATCACACCTAGACCACATTTGTCAGTGACTGAGAAGCAAAAGTTAACTAAGACTGTTCTGTTTAGCCATCTTCTGTAGAGATTGGTGGTAGTCCAGCTCATTCTCTCATTATCTTTGCCAATCATATCGGCTATAACCTCAGCCTAAAAACCACAACAGTATTCCAGTATTCAAATGACTAGGTCAAAGTAACGTTTCGCGGGAAACAACCGGCTACCAGATACCGACCAGTTCGTTTAAAGGTTTAAGTACAAAAGAGGACAAGCTGATAGGCCTGAAATCTCTCGGACTCATGTAGGCGGCTTGATGACTTGCGACAATAAAATTTATCCTGGTCCTTCTACGCAGAAAACCTTAAGGAATGAACAGTGCGGTTAGACACTAGGAACTTTAGATTTCTAAGCATGCATATAGCGTGATAAGGTGACATAATCTCAACGAAATTAAGAGGGAGATGGGCAAACCATGAATAACTTTATTGTGCTATTTAAATTCTGTTGGAGTATACATAATTTGAATGGTTCCACCAGGCAAGGGACGCGCTTGGTCACTTAAGAGAATATCCTTTGTGATACCACGAAAAGATGAACGGATACGATTAGTGGGCGAGTCGCCGCGATCACGAAATTTCGAACGCGGCCGATTTCAGTGCTTGAGTGCTCACGGTTAGTTAAGAAGTGCGAGCCAAAATGTTTCTACCTTAGTCTCGCGAAGGCTGGACATTCTGAAAGAAAGTGTGGAGATGATTCCACCTCATCTTCCTCTTGACAGCTGGTAACAAAGGGATCATTTGAAATTCCTAGTCTTACCGCGGGGATACCAATCGCGCTCAATGTCCTATCAGAACCCCCACCACTAGCGAAATCTGAGGCTTTTTCCACCCCAGAAGTACTCCGACGCGATTGATGGAGGTGGCCGAGATTCCTTTACGGATTTTGAGCGCACCATCATGGCGTTTAGGGCCCTAACAGACGTCACATTCTTTAGCAGTAGGTCTACCGCTTCTTTGATGGCAGCTATTTCCATCTGAAAAAACACTGCAGAAGTCCGGAAGTTTGAGCATAGTTTTTATGGAGAGTTCCCCACAGAAGACACCTCCAACAACCCTACCTCAACGCTTTGATTCGTCCGTGTATAAGTTTACCGCTCCATTCATCCAGTAACCCCGTCCTACCCAGTCCTCTCTTGAGGCAATGTAGTTGTAGTTGTTTTATACTTTTTTAATTTTAATTATATTTTATAGAAGTATAGGTTGCCCTTCAACTAAACACATACAAAAGTTTTCAATGTTTGTGCAATATTAAAATAAAATAATGTAAAAAAAATATTTTTTAAAAACAAGCTTTTATTTAACCTGTACAATCAAAGGAATAAAATGAAGTAGTGTAACAAAAAATTTTTTAGCAAGAAAATTTTGTCAAAACTGCACTAAAATGAATAAAATAAAATAAGTTAAGATCTCGTTAAAGTTACTAAAAGCCATTTAGTGAAAGGAGTTATTCAAACTCTAATGAAAATTACTAACAAATTGTACTAATTTACTTCGTTTTTAAAAAAGCTTGTCGCGCGAATAGCAAACCGGTATTTAAATATCTGCATACATACATATAAATACATACATACCTAACCA